ACACACACACACACACACACACACACACACATCTTATTCCAATTAATCATTACGTGTGTTATGTAATAGACTATAGGACATCAAAATGTACGAAATAGCTAAAAGTAGATATTTAATAATTTTAATTGTTCTATGGATATAGAAATATATTATATTTTAGCACGGCCATTTTACAACTTGATATTGTTTATAAATGCCCGCCTTTTATTTATAAAGTAATAATGCAGAGTATTTGCATTAGTAAACCTGATATTTCTTCCCATATTTCTTTAGCGCCAGTCACTTTTACTCGAATGTGTATGCGGAAAAATAAATGTAATAATGTACGCTTAATTCTATTTTATAGTACTTGGTGGCTTCCAATTCCTTATTACACAATTCTGCGATATATTTAATGGGAATTTTCACTCCCATTTTTTTCTTTTTCTTTTTCTTTTTGTTTTCTTATTTTATTGGTTTTTTTTTTTTTTTTTTTTTTTTTTTTTTTTTGTTAGCAATGTCTCAGAACATTTTTTCCAGTCCGAGCTTTTTCTTCATTTAACTTTAGAATTTATTAAAGTTTAGGTCGAGTCAGCGAAGCATTCGAGCGCGAAGACAGATCTTTGTTCCTCGTCGTTTTTGCGACGCCATAAAAGTGGTTCGTGCAATTGGAATTCCCCCGTAGAGTTAATCGTATGTAGCTTGATTCGATGAAATAAGTTTTAATGAAAAATGCGTTTTTAATGATTCAAAGATAATACTTCAGCGCATGCTTAAGCAGGATTTAGGCTTTAATTTCGCTGAGAGCTTAAGAGTTTCAGAGATAGGATTTAGCCACGTAATAATTTACATAAAACCAAATGAATAAAATAATGGTATGACGTATAGTAGTAAAATTTGTCAATAGGCAATTAATTTATTCGGTATGTACAAATAATTATACAGTTTATTTTTAACCTTTAAACTTTGTTTATTAATTCGATGAGCGTAAATTTAAAGTTCTAAAGTTATATATATATATATATTTGACAAAGTGACCAATTCACTTATTGTTACTTTTATTTTTATATTTGCGCAGATGCTGAAAATTATTCTTTTCAATTCTCGAGACATTGGAGAAATTACTTCATTGGCTTTGGCGTGCACGAAAGTTATTCGAGCTGGACGTTCACGTATCATGGGAAGCGCAATTAATACGCTTATAGAAATTTAAATAGAATTTTTAAAAATCCAGTTAGCATAGGATGATGGAATTAAAAATAAAATGGTCAATATACGAACCTTAATTTTCATGTCCTCGGGCGCTCGGGCGATCATAATGCTGCCGTTTCCTACGCGCAATGCGACTCTGCAACAGAACAACGAAGAAAAAGAAAAATTAATGCACGCATGATATTTAGTGATATAGACGGTAGAATATCAGGAGATCGGACAATATCATTCGCGAAGAAAACCTAATTAAGCACATACAACCCGCCCGCCCGCCCGCCCGCCCGCCCGCCACCATCCCCTTCGTTCTTATCGATCGCAATAACGCATGCGCCCTATTTGCCAGGGAGAAATGTAAAAATGAGGAGATTTTTTACAGGTGGGATAGTATGCATGGGGCCAAATTTTCTCACGAGGCCGTAATAAGGCCTTGATAAGCGCCGCACGGAACAATAGCGCCTAAGGAAATTAATTTTCGAGCGAATGAGAAACGACAAGAAGTCGCGCGGGGCAAGGAAAAAAGCTCTTGGCGCACGACCTCGGCCATAAAACGGGACGAGACGTCCCGAAGCACGCGAGAACTCGTTCATTGGCGGAGGGACAAAGAGGGAAGTTCGCAGCCCCTGCCACGGTAGCGAGCATTAATACGGTAAATCATGTTAATGTCGGTGCGTTTATTATTCAATTTCGAGAATTATGAGGGGCCCGACTCGTTCTCGTTCGCGGTGCAACTCAACTCTCTCGGCCCCATGCTCCACTCCATTCTTCTCCATTTTCTTTTCTTCGCTTACCCTCGACACACTTATCGCTTTGTTTATTAATTCGATGAGCGTAAATTTAAAGTTCGAAAGTTAAGCAAATTGTAAAAGTTACCCATGCCATTGTTACTCGCAATACCGAAGTTTGACTTGTAGCCGACCACCTCTCGCCAGGCGCACGTACACTACCACTACTCTCTCTCTCTCTATCTCTCTCTCTCTCTCTCTCTCTCTCTCTCTCTCTCTCTTAGCTTAGAAGCTGTGCTGTAAATTGTGAATAATTCAAACGCGATATATCTTATCCGAGAGAACAATCTGTTCGTTACGTACAATTATTTTTATTCGGTATGTGTCGTAGGAACGATAAAGCAAATTTTAAGTGCCTTTTTGAGGCAAATGAAATCCCGCGCAATTATACGAAGAGACGAGTAACATACTATTTTAAATCGCATATAATTGAAAGATATACGCAATCACTTACGCTAGAGAGCTCGATGGTTTTTCGATATAACGAGATAAATTAATCAAGATCGCAAACCCCAAGTGCGCAATCTCATTTAACTTTGAATCCAAACAATTCGTTACGCCCAGTCGCTATAGATAAAGAATGATAAATATCCAAAAGACCGGATTGAAATACGACCCAAAATCACGTTCAATCTTTCCCTCGGTAAATTCAACGAACCCGAAGTGCTAATAATTTCGTCGCTCGCACCTCACACCTTCCGCCTCGAGCCAGGAGCCCGCATCCCGATACAATGCCAAAGTGCCTCGACGAGAGTGAAATTAACCTTGAGCGGTGAGACGCGCCTACGCACCTCGGAAAATCAGCAGCGGCCGAGTGTCATTGACTCATCCAGTGATGCCCCCCCCCCGACACACACCTAACCAATCACGTGCTGAAATTTAGTTGATCTTCGCCAACACACCGAATGCTCAAGTCCCTCTCACCTCGTATTTTATCGCCAGCATCACGAGCGACTCCTGCTCGTCTCAATTTTGAGCCGACACCATCCATCTCGTACCGCCCCCCGCCCCCGCCCCTCACCAACACAACTTGGAGCGCACTTACGCGCGGAAATCATAAATTATCACGCGAGTCGAGTGTAGCACGGGGGAGCTTAATGAGGGCCCGTTGGGATTCGGGGTCATTCGGGAGGTGCAGCTGCCGACCGATAGACACTCTCCGGAGGAGCTCGTCCTCGCGCGCACATGCGACCACGCGGAAGCAATTAAACGTCCGATAACTCAGGCTTCGACGGGGAGTCTATTCGGTTCCGCCGGCGGCAGGGAAAGATGCACACGACGAATAATTGAATAAGGAAAAATCGGGATGAATCGCGATTCGACGGGCAGCGAGGGTCGCTCGCCGTCTAGTCTCTCGTCCTCGCCCGACCCTCCTTTATAACCATTTTCGTTTGTTTAATTTTTTTCATTGCTTTGGGCCGCATTCGAAATTGCGAACAATGTGCGTCATCAATGTAGCGTTTGTTTGACATTGTTTTTATTTCTGCGTGGCACACGTATCCTTTTCCTTCTCTCCTTTTAACTAATTGTATTATTAAATAACATCGATGCCGCCCCAATATTATTTTATCATTCAATTTACCCCGGTTTTCTATATTGTAGGATTAAATTTTATTTTCATTAGAAATTTTTTCGTAATAAGATTTTGAGGTCTACTTGCGTTTTTTGAAAAATTAACGTGATATTCTCATTGGCCGTACGAAGGGAAAAAGGCTACGACAAACCAATCGGCTTAATAAAAGAAATATTAAACACAAAAAAAAAAAAAAAAAAAAAAAAAAAAACCCCCCGCCGGCAAGTAATATCACCGCTTAGAAAATGTAAATTAAATGAGATCGTTTATGATAATCTACGAGCACATACCGAAGCATAAAATTGGGTGAAAGTTGGGAAAATAAATTTAATTAAATTATGATCCCGGTAAACTTACACCGAGGTTAAACCCACAAATGCATTATTGGCAAATTGTTATTAAATTCACATAAATGCGAAAATTAACGAACTTGGGTGGGGAGTGCGGGCGAGGGGTTGGGGAAGGAGTAGAAAAAAAAAATCGTAAAATAAATTCGGAAAAATATTCGGCAAATAGATAATAAATTTCTCTCTCAAATGAGCGGCATACAATTCCTACTAAAGTGATATCATTGTGATAAAGCCTCGTTTTCAGTTTCATCAAGCTCTTCGATCTTGGGCTAAAAATGAAACTATCCACACCAATGGGAAAGCAGTATCGTAATAAAATCTTTGGGCGTAATCAAAATTACATTGTTCGATATTTTCGGGACCGGTGTTTCGTCTAGCGCGTTAACGAAATGAACCACGTGATAAAAAATTGTCGGGAAAAGTGTCGGATGACTGCAATAATGCCAGCACTCTGCTTTAGGAATTTCAAATATATGCCGTGCAAATATAAATAAAACTGTACAAGTGCAACCAAATTTCTTCTCTTTCTTTTTTTTTCTTCTTTCCTTTCTTTCTTCACTTAAGATTATTACCATATTTTATAATAATCGCTTGCTATTTGTACTTGATACATCTTTGAAAAATGTAGCTTGTAAATAAAGTTTTGGATACACCAAAATATGGTAAACGTAATCATAATTTTATTTTTCAAGAACATTGTTTTATACGGTCGGTATTTAAAAAAAAAAGAAAAAATAAATAAATAAAAATCTAAGCTCAGAAAGTTCCTTTTTTTGCTCTACAAAGGAAAGTAGTAACGAAAATATACAAGTAAACCCTCGTGAAAGTATATTGGATAAAATACGGCGAAATGAAGTTTAAAAATAATAGTGAACTCAAGATTACACGCGTTGACTTTATTATTATATTTACGAGTGAACTTTTAACTTATATTAGAATTTATCAAACTATTTGTTAAAACAGCCACTGTTTATTTCGATGAAGAGCTTTCATACGTAAAACGCAAAGCCTCTAAAGAAGAGGATATGTCTTCCATGTCTGATAGGGCCGAGTATTAATTAAATCAAAGGTCGAAAGTCGAAAAAAGGAAGAAATTCGCCAAAAATATAGTCATTTTGATGATTGACACAAAGCACACTTGTAAAGCAAAGCTGTTAGAAACGGCCTCTTGAACGACCGTCTTCGGCAGCGTGTCGAAAAAAGGACACCAAACCCACCCCACCAAAGTGGCAGTCTGATCTCTCTAGAGTGTAAATATTTTTTTTCCCTGGAACTCGATGAATGTGCTTTAAGAGTAGCAGATAAACGCTCGAGAACATTCTATCAAACGGCCGATATCCGTATATATATATATATATATATATATATATATTATTGGAAAAATCGTCGACAATAAGCGTGTAAAGTAGGTGAATTAATTTTGCGGATTCATGAGTTTGTATTTAACGAAAGCACGTAGATTAATCACCCGAAGTAAACTCAAGTACAACGATCTCACTCCAATCCGTGTCCAACTTCAAACTTCAACTTATTATATTAAATTACATTCGTCCCAAGATTATACGTTCAAACGACAATTAAATTATTTGCTCCAGTATTTTTACCATCTCGTGTAGCCCCGCGGGAGTACGCACACTCACATATACATATATATATGATGGATATTTTAAGTGTGTACGCTGAAAAATTATAGGCAATGATAAAGCACGCGTTCTCAGAAGCAGTAGAGTAGTAGTATAGATATTACTCTTTTTTTGTTGTCTTTTCTTTGTTTTGTTCTGTTCTGTTTTGCATGGAGCATGGGAACGTTCCATTTTCATGATGAATTTCTCGTGGCAGTGTCAAACAATGTACATTTACGGCACCAATGAAAACACACTGATTCAAATACTAACTTGTAATACATCGGGAGGTATAAATTTTCCTATAAACTTGCAGAACAGCGAAACACATTTGTTTTTTTTTTCTTTTACAGAGTATACTAGGGGACAGGCCATTATCGGGTCGTGCGTATAAATGTATGCGTATATGTATGTCAGTGAGGACGAGGAAAGAGGGGAATGGGAAAGGTTATAAAGAGGATGCAATCGAAACTCTTGCACGCGACGTGTAGCAATCGTGTTGTTATGGATGAAACGTAGGTTAATTAAACCACATGCACATACCTTCGATATTCCCACTCGGATTTTGGCGTATTTCGCCAATGATTGTTTCCTCTCAATTCCCCTGTCGTTTCATTGTGAGTTACCTCTTAGGATACAGGACTTTACATTTTCGCGAACCTTCTGGAAAATTGAATACCCAAAATGCCTCGCTTTTGTGCATTTGTGAGCATAGCATTTGGAATACATTGAGCCCTTAGATATTGAGTCTTATGTACTTGTTAAAAATTATTTTCCATGTTCATTTAAAGAGTGTGCGTGAAT